TGGTATATATATTACCAGTTCTCCAAGGGTATGCATACTTTTGAGCACAACTGTACATCTATGTTGCTGTAGAAATCTGGGTTGTTATTGTGCTGTAGGACAATCAATTAAATGGACATGCATCACTTGACAATTATTTTTTTAAAAACCAGCAAGCAAACACTTTTAAACAAATATTCAAACCAAAATAAAACAAGAGTGTGTAATAAACATTATAAAATGTATAATATAAACTTGGTCAGTTTGGTCAGTGCATTATTAGCCATACTTCTCAGTTAGAGTTAGAGGGAGACTTCTAATATTGCGGATGGGCAGCGAGGGATCATTGTCATCTGAGCACTTCCTGCTCAGTTCTCTTGAGCGAGCAGCGGTGATGCTTGTTCCGGAATATGATGTCACTCCAGCTCCCAGCATCACTAAGCAGCACATGAGGGAGCTGAGCAGGAAGAATGCACAGGATCCTGCACAGCCGCCCATCCAGCCCAGCACCTACACTGGACCCCAGGAACTTCAGCTGACCTACACCCAGGTAAAGAATCCACTCCAGCTCTTCCAAAAGTAGGATGGCTAGGTGGATTAAAAAAATAAATAAATAACAATTTGTGAGTGTGTCAGTATTTGTGTCTGTCAGTGAATGTGTGTGGTTCTGTCAGTGAGTATGTGTGTCTATCAGTGTGTTTCTGTGAGGACATGTGTGTCAAATCAGTGAGTGTGTAGGTATGTCAGCGCATGTATAACTGAGAGTGTGTGCCTGTCACTGAGTGGGTGTGCCAGTTTATGTCTGTCACTCAATGGGCGTGTTGGTCTTAAACAGGAAATGGTGGGGAAAATTTATATTCGGGGGTGCCCGAGTTTTGTCATGCCTAGGGCAGCAGAAATCCAAAATACACCACTGCGAATACCGCTATATATATGTGTACCTGTGGTCCCTGGCTACCTGTTCGCTATAGAGGGGCCAGCACACTCTGACTCCACTTCCCAGCAGCTCCCCTGTCTCTAATGCTCGTGAGACCTGTGACAGTCAGATAGTTGCCACAGGTTGCCATAGCAAAGCTCCACATGGCACGCAGGCCGCAGGCGTTATACACAGACGAGCTGCTAGGAAGTTGAGTCAGAGTGTGCCACCAGACCACCAGGGAATGCGATCTTCCCCCTCCCTGGCCAGGTAAGAAGCAGAGGGGGGACTAAAACAAAGTGTTAAAAAATAAAATGTTTAAAATGTTAAAAAATAAAAATGCCCCCCCCCCCTTATTTTACACACTCATTACATGCCTACACAAACACACACTACACAAATACACACTCTGCATTTATTATATACACACCACATCCACTACACACACCCACACTGCATTCACTATACAAACACTACATTCATTATATACACACACTCTACATCCACTACACAAACACACTTCACATTCACTATACAAACTGCATCTAATACACACATCCACTGCACAAACACATACTCTGCATTCACTATACACACACTACATCCACTACACAAACACACACTGCTTTCACTATACACACTCTGCATTCACTACACAAACACACTTCACATTCACTATACACACTGCATCTAATACACACATGTACTGCACAAACACACACTCTGCATTCACTATAAACACACAACATCCACTACACAAACACACACTCTGCATTTACTATACACACGTCATCTAACTGCATTGTGAGAGATTGGGAATACTCTGCATTCACTACACAAACACACACTACATTCACTATATACACACTACATCTACTATACACACGTCATCTAACTGCATTGTGAGAGATTGGGAATACTCTGCATTCACTACACAAACACACACTACATTCACTATATACACACTACATCTACTACACAAACACACACTCTGCATTCACTATACACACGTCATCTAATACACACATACACTACATCCACTACACAAACACATACTCTGCATTCACTATACACACTATATCCACTACACAAACACACACTGTGTATTCACTATACACACACTACATCCACTACACAAACACTCTGCATGCACTATACACACTGCATCTAATACACACAAACACAGATGATTGTAATGAATTTACTAAATATGAGAATGTACCTAATTCTTTGTGGGATAAGTGGCAACCTCTACACTTTATGTCTACCCTTCCATAGGTATCTGTGTTGCACCATCCTTTAACCTCACAGTCAAAAAAGACTTTTTTATCGACTTGCGACTTCCTTATTCTGTTGTCCGTAATGAGCAGGTGGAGATTCGAGTAGTCCTATACAGCTATGTCAATGAACCTATTGAGGTATGTGAACAGGTTGTCACTTTGGGTAAAAAGGACTTTAAAATGCAAGGCAACAGTTAGCAGATCTAGAAGGTGTGCTTCACTCTTGATGGTGGTGGGACTGGTCAATATCTCCATCATTCTGTCCTAATTAGAGGAGATATTGCTTATTCTTTTAATAATATCATATATCTAATTTTACATGTCTCGTGTTTAATGATTGTTGTGTTTAATTGTTATATCCAGAAATGTGATAGATTAATTGGTTTTGATATTTTACTGAGTGATATTCATCCCATCATTAGACCCATAGTCTGCGCTCTTCTAGAATGGAAACTGCAGCCCAGACTTTGTCATCTCTAATTTCTTTTTCGCTTAACTTGGGAATTTGGATAGCTTTCCACAGCAGGTCATGGAGCCAAAGTCTTTTATTACACGAATAGGCTCCGTGGCATAGCTATTTGGGTTAAATGAGTTCATTCAGTAAATCCGAGAATCTACCGAACGCCAGGGCAGAAATACAGGAATATACCTTTCTGCATAGGAAAATAAAGTCCATAGTCAAAAGGCAGCAGGCAGGCAACCAGGCTCCTCCAATGCACAGTGGCGAGATTGGTCTATATAGACATTTTGTCTGAGTACATTTATGTCTAGTAGTTTAATACCTTTTTAGTTTCATGTAGTATCTCTTCTAAATTCCTTTTTGGGGTTTTTTTAGAGTAATCTTCTCTTTACACATTAATTATTAGTATTTATATTTGTTTCACCATTAAAAGTTATGTTTTAATTACCAATCCCCACTTAGGACAGTGTTTCTTTCTTTCTTTTCCATATTCTTAATCAGGGTTAACCCCTTCACTGCCCTAATGATCCATGTTATATTAGGCTTCCACTCTGTTTAATTTTGTAAAGCAAAATTACACCTAACATTTTAATAAAGGGTTTGACAATATATATAGAGACAAATATATTAAAATCGTTTTTCACGCAGCTTAATTTTGTTTATGAATACCTAAAAAGTCAACAAAGAGGATTTTAATTGAAATAAGAAATAGTGAGCTGTTGTTTTGAAGGCATTCTTTTAAAGGAACACTATAGTCACCCAAATTACTTTAGCTACATAAAGCAGTTTTAGTGTATAGATCATTCCCCTGCGATTTCACTGCTCAATTCACTGTCATTTAGGAGTTAAATCACTTTGTTTCTGTTAATGCAGCCCTAGCCACACCTCCCCTGGCTATGATTGACAGAGTCTGCATGAAAAAAAACTGGTTTCACTTTCAAACAGATGTAATTTACCTTGATCACAAATTGAACTTTAATCACATACAGGAGGCTCTTGCAGGGTCTAGAAAGCTATTAACATAGCAGGGGATAAGAAAATCTTAATTAAACAGAACTTGCAATAAAGGAAGTGTTTATGGAAGGCTGTGCAAGTCACATGCAGGGAGGTGTGACTAGGGTTCATAAACAAAGGGATTTAACTCCTAAATGGCAGAGGATTGAGCAGTGAGGCTGCAGGGTCATGTTCTATACACCAAAACTGCTTCATTAAGCTAAAGTTGTTCAGGTGACTATAGTGTCCCTTTAATATGCAGATAATCTTACTGTTCAATAAGCTATCATGTGTATGTCTCATGATGCTCAGTTTGGCTTATCCATGAGGGTATGAGAATGTCATTGAATATAAATAACACTTATTTTAGGATTTAATGGCATGAAATGTCATACTTTTGCCAACGACAATCCGGTGCTCAACTTCCACCACTGAACCTCAACAACACAGTTACACTTGTTGCAATTTTAAAAAATTTACATTTTGCTACCCAGCAGGTTTTGTTGATATTGATTGAACTAGTACCATAATTTGCTGTCACTAATTCTATTAAACCGTTGGACCCACACAGGTGCTTGTG